TAGATAGATAGATAGATAGATAGATAGATAGATAGATAGATAGATAGATAGATAGATAGATAGATAGATAATTTTAGAAAGAAAAAGGGCTCTCCACACCACCAAGTTGGCCTCTAGGCTGTCTGTCCTCAGCTGGGATAAGCACACACACCTGGCTGTGTTCTTACATTGTCTTTATTCTATAACAGCCCCCTTCCTTGCCTTTGACTGACGATGGCTTTGGTGGGGAGGACATTTGGCAGAAGGATTGCCATGAGTTTGAAGCCAGCCTCAGCTACAGAACAAGTTTTAGGCTAGCCTGGACTACAGAGTGAGACCCTGTCTTAGGGTGGGGTGGTTGTGGTGTGGTGATGGAGATGGCTCAGGGTTAAAGTACATTGCTGCCAGAGCTGAAGACCTGAATCCAATCTGTATAACAGATGGGGAGAAAAAAAAAACTCCTGACACACACACACACACACTGGCATGAGGGTGCCCCATACATGAAAATAAAATAAAAACAGGCTGGGTCATGGTGGCACACGCCTTTGGTCCCAGCTCTTGGGAGGAAGAAGCAGGCAGACCTTAACTCTAGTGAAGGATCCAATACCCCACCCCTGGCCTTCAAAGGCGCCTGAGCTCATGTACCCCACTCTCGAACATACACATAATTAAAAATACACCTTAAAAAATTAAATTAAATTATAGCCTCTAATGCTCGATAAGAGTTGTAGTGAAAACCTTTTACTCCAGGGGAGCAAAACTTGGACACCTGAGGTCAGCAGAAACTACACAGTAGATTCAGGCATGCATAGCTATGCCATTTCAATAAAACAAAAGAAACCCGACAAAACCAACCCAAAATGCCAAATCCTTGTCTGTCTGGGTATACGGCTCAATGGCAGAACACAGACATGAGGCCCTAGGTTCAACCCCTAGCTTCACTGAAAGAGAAGTTGTCACCATCGACAGGAGAGACGGTTCACCTGGTAAGAACTCTCGGCCTGGCTACCTGAGTTCAGTCGCCATGACCCACCTGACGGAGGGAGAGGGCTGACTCCCACCCCACACTCACCCACCCGCCACACAATAAATAAAATAGATGACATAGAGGGTTTAAAACTTGAATGTAGGAAAAGAAAAACTTCCTGGTAATCAACTAAGGAAGAAAAAAAAAAACAACAAAAAACCTTTGTCAGCAGGCATAGGTAAATAGCTGCTGCTCTGCATGGCAGATTGTGGTCAGCTCAGCGTTTAAAGGATTAAAGGATGAAGACTTAGAAATGCAGCCAGATAGGGATGAGATCAAACACAGATGGAGGATGAGCATAAGCGGAGCACAATTACTCAGTTAGCTAATCCAGGAGCTTTGTTCCTTCCTCTGCGGATAAAGCTAATGGGATCCTTTGCTCACACAGGATGTAGGGAAGCCAGGAATCAATCACGAACAACGTGCAGAAAAATAAGGCAGCCTCAAAGGCACAGGCTGGGAGAGGTACTCCGAAGAGAAGCGGCGTTTCTGTCTCTTTCTTTCCTTCAAGTACGGGGCCTTTAATCCCAGCACTCAGGTAGCTGAGGCAGGCAGAGTTCAAGACCGGCTTGGGCCACCAATCAAGTTCCAGCCTAGCCAGAGCTACACAGTGAGACACTGTGTTGTGGATATAAACATGTTTTTGTTTTGGTCCCAGGTGTGGGGTGTGGGACTGATTCAGATGGTCCACAGCAGCAGACTTTTTGCCTCATGAGGACTCTGAGAGGAGCTCTTTGCCAGCTGCAGATAGTTTAAATCTGAGGACTCTGGAGAGAGAATAAATGCCAGAGCCCAGAAAGGCGATGGGAGGAAGAACAAGGCTGCTTTCTGCTTCTCCCTTGCTGCTCCTGGTTGCTGTTGTGAAATGAGAAGCTGGAGATCTCCTGAAATGAGAATCGAGTGGCTCCGAGGAACCTGACGACCCTGACTAGCGGGAATCGACTTAGAAAGAACTGTGCCCCTTCTTCCACTAACCTTTTCTCTGTCCTGCCCTGGCATTGGGGTATTGGAAGGGATTGGGGTGGAGTAGGGAGAAAAAGATATAAAAACGTAAATAACAGAGGTTAGTTTTTTAGCATGCCAACAACACCGTCCCAAAACAAAAGCAAAACCCAAACCTAAACTCTCACGTAGGGGTACTGAGGTGGCTTACTGCCACATGGGACCGTAGCATGCCATCAGCAATGAGTAAAATGTAAATAAATTAACGAGTGCACGAATAAACAAAACCACACTCGCTCACTGTGTGTGTGCAATTCTCAGGAGTCTGTTTTCTCCTCCTCTGCGTGGGCCACAGGGATCAAACAGGACTCTCAGGATTGTCCGCAAACCCTTCTCCCTGCTGGGCCCTCTCGCCAGCCCCAGAGTGACATTTCAGCACGACCTGAGCGAGGTTTGTAAATATTTCTCTCTACCCTCAACTTGGTTTGTTTTCAGACAGTGTCCCATACCACGCAGCCTGGGTGGTCTGGAGCTCATTGTGCAGAACAGGCTAGCCCCCCCCCCCCCGCTCACCATCAAAATTTTCCGTAGTGCCTGCTGGTATCCCAGGACCCGAAATAAGGTGTCAATATGGCGTTTGGCATACACTCCACTGCAGCTGGTAGATACCTAAAACATTAGATTCCGGGGACATTCCCTGGATTTTACCTGGCTGGGCTCCATGACAGAGAAAGAGAGAGACAGATAGATAGATAGATAGATAGATAGATAGATAGATAGATAGATAGATAGATA